AACACTGGAAATCAACAACAGTGCAAGGAACCAAGCCAGAAGCTGAGGACAGCTTCACTGCTGAGGGGGAGGCAGTGTGGTGTAGAGGAATGACAGACGGCGGCCATATTGGTGACGGTGTTGAGCACGGCGTGGAGGCGGCATCACGTGACCGGTGGTGCGATTTCCGGCTGCGTGGTGGCGTGCGGGCATTGAATGACGCGCCGGGGGCTGAGAGCCAATCCGCTCACGACTTTTCCGTCTCCATTGTAGCGACGCGCAACGGACCAACGGGAGAACAGGATGAACAGGACAATGATATATAAAGCCCCTGTTTTCCCCGTACGGACTGACTTGATTTTGGTTGTCTAGGCCTTTATTAAAGTGCTCCTTTTTGACTATCTCTCTCTTATTCACCATACCATGGGTCGGAAACTTACAGTGGCGACGGATCAGGGCGCAGACATGTTGAACCACCTGGACTCAGCCAATCCTGTGTCTCTCTGAATTCCAATGGCATGCGAGGAAGATAAGCAGCCAGCCAGAGAAGGGCACGACTGAGGAGCAGTATATAATAAGCGGCGTGGCCAGCGTGGTGGACTCGGATGGGTGTCGCCTGACTTGTAACTGGCTTGTGATTGGTCAATAAAGCCTGTTCTGTTGGACCAGTCTTATTCGTAATTGGTCTCGGGTATTCTACAGTGGCGACGATTGAGGGCGCAAACATATTGGACCACGCTAACCTCAGCTAATCCTTTGTCTTCCAATGGCATGCAACGATTGGCAGCCTACCGGAAACAGACACAAGTGAAGAGTAATATATAATGAGAGGCGTAGCCAGTGTGGTGGACTCGGATGGACGGCGCTTGGCATGTGGTTCTGGCTTGTGATTGGCCAATAAAGTCTGTTCTGTTGTAACAGTCTTCTTCATATTGGGCTACAGTAGTGTATTGGGGTGTGGCGACGTATTAGGGCGCAGCCATACTGATCCCCACAGGCCTCAGCCAATCCTCTGTCCCTCTGAGATCAAATGGCATGTGCGGGAGATATGCAGCCACCCAGAGAAAGACACGAATGAGGAGCAGTATGCAATGAGCACCACAGCCAGCTAGGTGGACTAAGATGGACGGCGCCTGACATTTGGTCCTGGCTTCAGATTGGTCAATAAGGCCTCGTCTTTTTTACCATTCTTTAATACCAGGGCTCAATTATTCTAAAATCTAATCACAAAAAAATAGACTTTATTTTCGAGCTTACCAAACCACTGTTTACATGGAGTTGCAGGGGCAATTTACAAAAGGACTTGCCTACCAGAGACATTGATGAATGTAAAAAATAATATAATGTGCTGCACAACAACTGCAAGGGCCAGCACGCGGTCGTGAATTATGATGCCTCGGTAAAGCCTATTAAGTCGAAGCAACCTATCCAAACCGGAATGGATATGAATGTTGTGAAAAAATTGGTAACAGCCAAATTGAGCTGTCTCATAAAATCTGAATAAAAGGACAATCAAATATATTCCGATTTTATTTACCTATTTAAGTTTATACGAGCATGCTAAGTCAAAAATGGTATATATACCCGAAAGTTAATTTAATGCAATAAGTACTCCGAAATCCGGATTTCTGAGTCAGATGATTTAGCTCCTTCCTTCAGTTTGTTTCTTCGATAAAGATTACAGGTGAAAGGTATGTGTATTTGCTTTAAAAGGTGTGTAAATTATTGCTGGACATACATCTTCTCTTAAATCTAATACATTTCACATTGCTACATCCAGTTAAACTTAAACGTTTATTTGCAAGATCTTGAAAGCAGACATACTATAACTGCTTGAGAACCGCCTTTATGAACTAATTCCTAGCTAATACCTACGTTAAATTGGTTGTTTCCTTTGATTATGTAAATTGGTTTAGGTCAAGATTAAAGTCATTTATTTCCAGCAAATTACTACATTTTGAATTTGAAAACACTCAGATTAACGTTCCTAGTGAACAACTAACAAGGTTGACATTCATCTAACAAAAGTGGTGACGTATATTTTGTATAAGTCAGATATTGCTCTTTTTATTCGCTTAATGTAGTCATCTGATTAAGGTAAATAACACCATGATACAAAATGCGAATCATGGTGTTAATCCAGGGTTCTCTTTAAGCACTTAGAACCTATGTTACAATGAGTTAAACTAATATAAAGAGCCCAAACAGATATAGGGCCGTAGAAAACTATGCTCAAGCTAAGTGTTTATCCACGGCATTCTGCATGTGCTTCTTTAGCTCCACGTAGTTAGTGAACTTGTGTGGTAACGTAACAAATGTCGTTTGTTGAATAACTTATAAACCCTGCACTAACTTACGTATTTACCATCACTTAAGTCATTTTGAAGGCTACAGGAGGTTACCTCTAAAAAGCATTTATGATGTCCGTCAGTCAAAACCTGAATTCTAGAAAGTTGCTTCACTTTCTTAATTCATGTAAAATACATTTTTTTAAAAAAACGTAAAACAGTTCACTTGTATATTATTATAGTTTTGATAGTTGTTCATTTGGACATTTTGACGCTTGATGACTTCAAAGCATCCTCTTGTAGCGGACCACTGACATCAAATCGGTAAATGTAATCTCATCGAAGGGAACAACTACTCCTATTTCCATTAAGCAGCATGTAATAGAAATTAAAATAGGCAAGACATGCAAATACTAAAGAGTTCTATTTCTAGATGTAATATTAATAGAACAAATTTACTTTCTAAATATTATGACTAGTGATGGGAAACAGTCGCTAGTTCAGGAGAATGAAAATTTTTACTGTTTGGAATTTGCTAATTTTTAAAGACGATATATACTACATTCTTTAATAATACCGACAGTATTTCATTTATGTGTTCTTGGAGATTTGTTATCATCTTGATATTTTTCAAGCTTTTGACAAGTCTTTATTCTTCATAATACCCATATGAATACACAAATTTTTGTATTGAAATCGACCGTCCCATTTTAACTTGTTTATTCAGCTTTAAGTTTACTATTTTTTAGCAATCGAAAGACTTAAATACAATCCAACAATCTTTTACAGGTCACACACAAGCTGTATCAGGTGAAGATTCTGCACGCATGGGCTTCCAATAATTACAGTAAATAAAAATGCGCAGACAGACTGCAAGCCACAACCTTATCTTCATGAAAAAAACTTAAGATTTGGACAACATTCCAAATAAAATTATTTACAATACAAGAAATTGCAATGGTGTTTTCTGCTTTGATCCCCTAGTTAGCTGCTTAGTTTTGCAATTGCATTAAAAGATTAGTAAAGAACAATGCAGCATAGCTTTTACATTAGAAACCGACAGAAGCCAATGAATATAATAGAGTTTGGGTGGTATCTTCAATCTTCCATGAAAAACTTGCAAAATGGGCACTGATGTCTTTGAAGATATATGAGCTGATAATCCTCCTTTTGAAAGATCTAAAACAAAATAATAACTTAACTTCATATGAAATCAAACCATTGCTTTGAGCTCTAACTAAAATATCTAAAATAGCGCATTTAATTGATTCTCGTCCTAAAATTGCAAATTTGCAGCACCGTTTCTCATGCCACATGACTTAAAACGACTGAATTTATACCATAATGGTCTATTTATTAAAAATATACCAGCTGAATGCCAATTACGAAATCGAAAATACTTATAATGGAATCAAACTAGTTTTGGAAGGAAAATCTAGTAAATCGACATTCACAGACTGATTCTGGCTTGTTGCCTTACTATACACGGTAAACTAAGCGTTAAGGAGCCATACAAGCGCATCTTTGATAAGTTCTTTCGAATTATAATCACCGAATTCTACACTAATCAAAGAAGTTCACGTGTCTAATAATTTTAACTACTCTAGTATTTGCTTGCCAAGGAACGAGACATAGTTGACCAGCTATTCAACGTCTAATAATGAATTTCTTGGTTAACGCAATTACCTTCTTCTCGAATAAAGTGAATATCGGTTTGTTTATTTTATTTAAGAAATCCAATTTATACCATTTATTTCACTTAGACATCCATGCGTAATCTTTGCCGACATTGTTTAACTAGCAATTTAAAACTTTACATGTCGAATTACTTGGCAAGATGTAAATAAAAGCATACTTTATTACGGCAAATAGTTAAAAGCTTTCGGAAAAAAATTCGCACGCAGCAACTCCTAGTAAAATCGTTGCCTCCAACAAATCGAAACCGAAAAGAGTTTTGAAAAAAAAACAGAATTATGTGAGTCTTCATGGTAGTAATTACCACCTTAAATAGAGCAAGGTTTAAGTAGGTACTTTGTTATCATGAGGAAACGTGACTGGTGAACTTCATTCGTTTTGTGTCAATTTTTGTGAGCTGACCGAATACAACACAGAATGCAAACTTTTAGTCACAAACACACCCTAATTTCCCAAAATATGTCAGAATTTACTATGTAGTGTTGAAGGAAAATTGTATTCCAAAAGGGCTTGAGCGAGACTGTACCTTATTACAGCTTCTACACCACGTAACTCCAACTTCAGGAAGAACATTTTTGAAAAATCGTTTCCGCAACGGGTAATCCGCTTCAAGAATAATAATTTCTGCCGAAGGGATCGCTTTTAGGGTAGTTGCATCAAGCACAACCGGTTGATACTCAGTAGAACTTATCTAATTCCATGAGACAAAAAAATTTAGATCATTGTTTTTTCAATCAGTCAAAAATTAGAGGCATTAAGTGTCTGGGTGAGATCAGTACAAGATACGAAGAAATGTTAGATAAACACCCGCACTAAGGAATACTTATCTGACAAGGTTCTTCTGATTTATGATCAAAGGAAAGCGTAAGATTGCCAATGTAAAACAAGGTAGATTAAACGTGTTTAAAGGCAACGCTGTTCAGTTTAACGGTATAAGGTATTCTAGAGTTGTCACGTCAACAATACCAAAGACAAAGTTCCTACTTGATCATCTCTCCAACCGTAAGTTTGGGCATAAATTAGGTAAATGGATTTTTTTTAATTAAAGGGTGATGCACTCACCACAACCGACGAACTGATCACATTACTTACGTTAAAACTACTGAGCTTTTCAGCAAATGGATCAAAATCAGGGGTAAGACGGTTGATGTTACCGGGCGAACTTTCTGACTCAGCTGAATGTTGGGTTATCGGATCGCTTCGGATACAGTCAATCACCTCTTCTGCAGTCAACTCGGGGTCTGGCACAAATTCCACGAGAGGTAGGATATCTGACGCAGAGAAAAATTCAATTGGTCTGTTTTTTTAACAAAAAAACTGTGTTCGAACCCGAAGGTTGAGTTCATCAAACCTACCAAAATACAAAAAGGAGTAGACGAAAGGCGCTTTGCAATTAGTGCAACGGCCGTCACTCTGTAATGTAGAATTAGTGGCGGAACATCGGAAGCAGACTACTATGATGTCCTAAAGGTATTAAAAAACGTTAAGTTGAACTGGTAAAATCAAGGAAAAAAATCACCAAAGTGCTTATGGACTACTGATTGGATCAGCAACCAAAACAAAGCTGTCCTAATTTTACGAGAAGCGGTTAGCTTTAAATTTTGTAAGACTAGCTAGAAACACAACAGGTTTACTGATGAAATTAACATTTTCAGTATGCGTTAGAAGTAGAGGATGCTTCGTTTATTTTACTTATGCTGGATAAAACACATCGATTTCAACAGATTTCACCACCTTTATTCAGAGCACTTAAAACAATATTCTCATAGTTCAAATTTATCAATAAAGAAAAGATGCTCACTTCAGAGTCCTGAACTGGTGTGTTTTTGATTGCCAGGCTCTGAAGTTCAATCAGTCGTCGGAGTGGTTGTTTGATGTGGAAGGTTTGCAAACGGTCGAAAGCATATCTTGCCAGTTTGAAAGCACCGAGATTCTTGCTATGCTTTGCTAAGGTGAAGAGCACAAACCTGCGTTTCTAAAGTCAAGGAAACCACTAGAAAAACGGTTTAGCTGTAAAATTCGAAAAGGTAGAAAATACGATTAAGCAGCAGACCTCGAAAGCCTGCTTTTGGTCCAGTCAGCTTTCCAAAATTACAAAAGTATCTCCAGCCTTTGCAAAAGAATCTTAAACTTGAACAATCATCTTCTTTTTGTTCCTGGAAGGACATTTTGACTTCTTCAAAGCTATCTGTGTTATCTATTAACCTTAAAAAAGCAGATGTGTTCAAATATGACAACTCGTAGGTCAGTGAATAACAAGTATAATTTTGAAGGATACACTTTTGAAATTCCATCAAAGTCGTCTTTTCCTAATCGTTGAAGAAGGTACCGAGCCATATTGAAGTAGGCCTCAGGCACGTGTGTTGCAAAAGGGTCTTTCTGTAAAGGCAAGTGGGTTTAAAATTACAAAAAAAACTTTAAGTAACGACATAAACTTTGAAGCCCCTCATTTGACCATTACGCAAATATACAAGATAATTCAATAAATCATGTTTTAATTCTACTATCTTAACATTAAAAAATTAGAATGTTTGGGGTTTACAAAGCGCAATCTTCTAACGAAACCACCCAAACAATTTCTAGACAGGGATATACTAAACATAAAACTATTTCTACCTCTTTATGTATAATTTTGACACTTGTAATGAGGCTTACTACTGCTGGTTGAAGCCCTTTTAAAAAGTATCATGAATGAAGAAGTTAGCTTGAAGAAGCAGATGTTGGTAAATGGGAAACTGAATGTCTTGAAGTGTATGCGAATAAATGAGCTTATATCAAAGACATGGCTCCACTGCTTGGCTAGATTTGGGTTAATGCATGCATAGTGCGTGGTGAAAAATGGTTATTGATAATACAAGTAATGAACGACTTGATAAGAGATTTATTACCACCAAAACGGATGGCGATTGGGGTGAATTGATGAGCTTTTGAGGTGAAGTAATGAAATCTAAGGAATGAGAATTAATTTAGACATGTTCTTCACTTTACGCACCATGTACCGATAAATGTTGTTGTAAACGTAATAAACATCAGCTCGCTTTGCGCAGTCCTTAAATCGCCTAAGATATTCTCGCTTTGTGTGCTGATCTAAAAACCAAATGTAAAATAACGATTTATGCCTGTCCAAGCAAAAAATATGCGAGGTATTATGAATGTCTCACCTTGACTTCCTTTAGCTACCTCTGCGCATTGCTTGCTCAGTTTCCAGTAATACCAGCTGGCATCATCGAACCGGAACTCCGACACCGCACACGAGGCCAACTCTTCAAGAAACCTGACGGTCTCATTTGCAAGTCCAGCCCGAGCAAATGCTAGGAATGGGGAAAGATATTGAACAAACGCCTTTAGCAGTTACAGTTCTCTAATTTTTAAAGCCTGATTTGCAAAGCATTTCTACCTGATGGCAAAGAGACTAGCACTTTTCATTTGCGCAATACGATCATGGCACAAAAGTCTACCATTTGTAAATCACATCAGTTGGAGTCGCTTGTTCATATTGGCATGGAATTTCAAACCGACATCTGGGCAGTGGTCATGTGAAAAAAACTTTAAAAATTGGATGGTGCGATCAGTGTTAGATTAACGGAGGCGATAGTAAAAGAAAAGCACAGGTTAAAATTGGTACCTACCAGCTTGGGCTTCCTCGAAGCTGTCGTTTTCAGCTAACCACTGGGCATATGGAAGGTATACTTTTCGTGTATATTCAGGATTTCCTTGAACAAGTGATAATGACTGAAATAGACCAGTTAGTAAAGTTTAAAACATCATCAAAGCAGCTATTTTATGGCTATGCAAAAAAATTGCACAGAGAATGGAGTAAAGTCTTGCATAAAATACAAATTATTGAAGCAGAAAGTGTTAAAAATTTGATGTGTTGTACACTCTTTGTGAAGCAAACCCAAAATGATTCAAGGTCTGCAAAAGTGACTAACATATTTTGAAGTTAAAACTAGCGAAATGGTAAACTTAGATACCAGGATCAAGTTCTCTGTGACAGAGATTGGTTATGCGACCTCGAAGCATACATTTATAATGGACTTGATTGAGGCACGAGTAATAAAATCTCAACGCAAAATTTAAAAATTGGCCTTTTACACCCAAAAAAGTTCCTTAACATAAAGCAAGCATGGTTGAATTCAGTTGAATATCTAGCATTTCACACCCCATTAAATTAAATATATTGCCTTATTGGCAAACGAAATGTCACTTGTACGGTACCAAATTTTTGGAGTCTCCAAATTCACTTTTTGGCCTTTCCAGTTTGTAAAAGACCACGAAGATGTGTACTGGAAAGCTTCTTTTGCCCGATTTAAGGTAATTTGATAAAAAGATCCAAAGGAGGATAAAAGACAGTTAACCAGGATTTACTCCAGAGCTAGGAGAATATTACCATGGGCCGAGAGTTTATAACAAGTACACACCAAGTTTGGGCTATTGGAACTCAATTAGTCCAAGTCACTTTATCGGTAAGCGGTTAAAGTGATACAACTGGAAGTAATAAAGGTGAATTGAGTGTACAGAGCTCAGCGTGGTGCCTTTCCGAGCGGGTCGAAGAGAACTGTGTGTTGCAAAACGATAGTTGCACAAAGTCATCCCAGGCACTCACCTCATCCCACTTGGCCGCCCTAATAAGAATATCCAGCTGACTCTCGACATCACCAATTCGAGCGTAGCAGTCGGCCGCAAAGGCGCATTCACCCAGCTTTGCCAGATGCTTAGCACAGAGGTCAAGGTGTATGCGGTCACCTTTATCGACCTTCCGACTCAACTCCAGAAGTCTGTGGAATAAACAAGAAAGCGCAACATTTTCAATTTCCCCTTAGATATTGTCTATTTATATAGTTAGCGGATGAAAACCCTTGGTTTTGCCTTTTGGACTTGGTGTGAGCACCAGTATTTCCAATTTATAAAAACAGAATCGAGGAGATTTACTCAGAGATAGGAATAAAGATAAATAAAGGCGACGAGTATATACATAGTAACCAAACACTTTTTCTCTCAAAATATCAACATATGAATTAAGGGTTTTTCAGCATCAATTATAAAAGAAACTTGATATGTTCAACATGGCATTTGTTTAAAAGTTAATTCCTGCAAAATTTGACCACATCAATTAACACGTGGCTTTCAGTTGACTTAATCAAAATTTAATGTTATCATCTGACTAAAATAAGCATTACATGTGCATTAAACGTGACTTACGTTTGGTCTCAGTCAATGGCAAATTTAAAAAGGTTGCATTAATCGTGACGAAATGTAATGGTCAGAAAGAAGACATATTTTACTTAAAAGTGATCAATGAAATTAAACCGACTTAATGAGGATTTCGAGTATAGTAAAGCCTCTTCTCATGAAATCTAGCACATGCTGTAAAATGGGATTGCTAATTTTCCATTTAAATTTACAAAGTGTAAGGTGCAGCAACTAAAACCTGCTTAATAATCTTGTTAGCACTCCGAATAAAAGACCTCACAATCCCTTAAAATGCTTGCATTTCACATTTTGTTACGACACTTATATTTCTAAACACTTTTTACAAAAAAAACAAGGGAAAGATCAATATTCAATTGTTTAAGCAGTAATCGCAGTCAGTGCATGGGTAATTTCCTCACATCTTAATCCAACTCAAAAATAACATCTTGGGGCTTGGCTAATTCCAAATTTTCAACTTTGAATAAACAAATAAAACAAAGATTATTTAAGATAAGTGCAGAAAGTCTTGACAGCAGACAACATGCAACTAATGGTTATCACGTACACATCGACCCAACCGTGCTCAGCTGCGAGTTCGATGGCGGCACCGTAATTACCGGCCTCAATAAACATTGTGGCGGCTGTGCGGTGGTCCTTGGTAGCACGAGCCCACTCGGCGTGTTTTGCTAGCAAACCACGCGTGGCTTCTTCAGAGTAGAAGTCGCATTCCCCATTTTTGCTTTCCGCATCACCACTCGCAGATATCATGATCTCCTTAGCTTCGGTAAATCGCCGCAAATCCGTATACAGGCCAACAACGCGTTCCACGTGGTTAGCTTTTTTAAAGGTTTTTGCTGCTTCTTTGTAGTCACCTTGGAAACAAGCCAATTCCGCTTCGATAAGAAGCTTTTCTGTCGAAGTCATCAGTGAGTCAGGAGGCTGGACCGAGCCATGGCGCTGACGTTCCTCGAAACAGAAGAAAAGCGAAGATATCCACAAAAATATCCACACTACGAGCCATTTTATGGTATGTAGTTACTCACTTCCAATTGTTGTATGTATGTTAGGTAAAAATAATCTCCCAGGTACACGAATACGGACCGTGCAATCTAGAATAAAAGCAAAACAGAGGAAAAGGAAATAATTGAGTGACCGCTCAGATACCCTAGAGAAAATAAAATACTTGCAAACTGATAGTGGGTTCACCTAAAAAGTACTAGACAGCGACGCGCTGAAGTGTCACTAACTTGAAGTTCCATGTTAAGTAAAGCAGCGTTTCCGAGTTTTCGCCAGTCTGTCTCCGAAACACCCAGGCGAGCCATCTGGTATGCCTCCTTTAGGCGCCCTGCGTCAAGGTAGTAGTACATTGCTTGGGCCAGCTGGACTTCGATGCGCCTCACGAATTGTGAGGACAAACAGTACACGGAAGATCCGTTGAAGCCAACAACGACACCCTACAAGAAAATTAAAGAAAACACACAAACAAAATACTGCCTACTTTTTTTAATTTTACGAATTTAGGAATGTGCAAACACCAGGATAAGATTTTTTTTCCTTGTGAAATCGAACTTAACATCTTGAGGTGTATTTTTGAGGTACGATGTAGTTCCCGACTCGATGAAAACTTCATTCTTGTGGGTGATAAAAATCGAAAAACTAAGATGATGATTGGAAAAATGTTTTAAGTTGGCTCTTTGAGCTGCATAACATTGAGACAGTATGAATGTTGCAATGCCGTAGTAAGGCCTATTGTCCCGCGTCAAATTTTTGCTTAATTTGCTATTGAGACTTACAGCAAATGCCCATCTATGTTCATTATAACTGTGGAAAACATGTTCAACCTGTAGTGAACCTTTTAAAAGGGACGTACATGCAAATGACAAGCATGAAGTTGATTTACCTCGATGGGCTGTTGGTGACACGTGTAGTCAACCGTCACTATGTGCAAGGTGTCTTTGCTGGTGTAGCAGAGAAGGTCATTGATCACCTGGTTCCAGGCAGCGCTTGTTATATTTGCCTCCTAAATTGTAAATTGCAAATAAAGATTTAAGATTAACGATGTTGACTGCTTAAGTGCCAGTTTATTTTTAAGAGAACAACAATCCCCATTTTGAAGAGTCATAGCCAAACTGTGGACAAATCGAAGACAATATGCATTAAAATATCGTTTGATTTGAACACAATCGACACCTACCCCTAGGTGATATTAAAAAGGTAGGTCCCATGTGTTCATAAGTTCTGATGGGAACCAATCTGGCCACCGGAAACTAAATACACACGAGGACTCACGAAAAAACTCGGCTTTGAGCTCTTTCAACATACCCAACTGAAAACAAGCAGGCCATTTAGTTCCCATTACTTTGACAATAATCTCAAAGGAAATAAATTGGCACTAAAGTACTTTTTAACATGCAGATTTTCTGAAGACCTCGATCTACAGTTAAGTGTGGCCGCACTTTACGTAATGGTTCAATTCAATAAAATACACAGCTATCATGGCCCTACTAGTCCAGTTACTCAGAAAGTTTGTGAAATAACCTAGCCCTCACCATGGGCATTTACTGACTTGAATTTTCAGAAGCGTGAAGAGTTTGAGCTTTACAAAATACGAAAGCGTTGTGATCTGAGCTCCGTTTCTTGGGCTCTATTTCATAATTGTTATTTCCAGAAAGTCCCCAAACATAAGACCTCTCCGTTTGTGAATATGCAAACTGACACACTGAGAAGCAAAGTACCCGAGTTCTTGTGCGAAACGCTCTACTCGTGGAAGGGATGAGAAGGACGTAGTACTGGATAAACGTAGTAAATAATTTACTTAGGGATAATTAGACAATATTAAATATAAAATTATTGAACAGGCACAAAAATTGAATAGGCTTACTCGCAAGAGAATCTCCTTTGTCTGCAGTGAATGGACGGTAAGAGTGTTGTTGCAGTCAATCACAGCTATTTTATCGCGATCAGAACTCAGGTCAATGAAGCTGACTTTGGTATCAATTTTTGTAAGAAGGATTGGGAAGGCACTGTTCAAATTTAATTTGAAAACCTACAATTCACATTTACAGCCTTTTACTGGAAACATTACAACTTATTCACAGTTGCATTATTAAAGGAATGGTAGGTGGACACTGTCACCAACGAAATTAGTTACCAGGGCAGAAGATAGTGTCGTTCTTATCAAGCTTTTGATTCACAAAATAGAGGATACAACAAGATCTATCACATCACTTTTTGTATTTACGGACTCTGAGAAAGGCCCTAGTATGGCAACTCTTTAGCTTGGACATTAATAATGTAAAAATGACCTCCTATGACGTCAGTTAGCAAAATGAGAGCAACAGTAGGCGGTTCACACTGTTCCTTGCTGTCTGTGAAGATCGTCGACATCTATTCTTAGCAAGAAATACTAACGCCGAAGAAAGCTCACTTCAAGGAGTCGCAGATCCGAAAGAGTAAAACGTATAAGCAGTTTTAAGGCAAAACGTTTAGGTAAGAACGTTGAAATGAGATTATTGCGAGACTTTGTCAAGCATACGGAGCGCCGAATTCAAATAAATAATCTACAGATATTTATATTTTTAGTAATTAAGCAAACGAGTATTGGGTGAGTGAAGTAGATATGAGATTTATTGTCACTTTCATTATTTTAGTCAGCCTAAAAGAATACCTGGCCATTGGTTGTCCCGATGGTTAAACTCTCATTTCCATCAGGGCCACCATTTTGCTGAATGCACTGCGCAGAAGAATCGAGGCACCAAAAGTGTTCCATTTGGCCCTTTGGGAAAGAGTAAAGGGTTGAGACATATTTACATACAAGCAGTAAGAGTCGATGTTGAGACGGGTTACAAGTTAGAAGCACGCTGCCACCATGGATTAATTACGAATTAGATGTAGCTAGTCAAATTGAAATGACCAACAATACATAGAATTTACAAGAACTCCAGTTTTGTTTTTATCGGCCGGTTCGGTTTATAGTTTCAAAGGTAGAAGGAGGGCATGAAATGTAAATAAACGGTAGATTATTTCTTATCTACAATATTTAGTGCTCAGGGTGTGAAGTCATATGCGATGGGTAGGAAGATTCGTTTGGCCTCCCTAGTAACATGCCTTAGTAAATGCTTGATTTAGTGGACACGTTACCTGGAAATTCACACAAGTAATTTTGCAGTCCTGACAGTAGATGATGTGCTGAGATGCAACCAGAAGCACCTGACAATTGAACTTGAGCATCACCTTCTCTTTTATGTGGTAGTGCATATCGAAAGGGTCATCGGCAGCAGAGTCATAAATAAGGACTCTATCGGAGAGTTGAATCTACATTGCTGCATTAGAGAATATTTGCTTGACTTACTGCTAGGCGGTTCTTGAATATTGCAATTTTCTTCACTACATCGCGGCACTTGATGCGAGCTAAATTCAGCTAGGCATTTTATGCGTGATTCACCTTTTTGCTCCGTTACTAGATGCTGTATTATTACGTCTGTGATGATGTCCCTGAAGGCATAACGATCTTTGTAGAAACTATGTACGATTGGTGTGAAGTATTGCATGCTTCTGATAGTGCCATCTTGGCACCCAATCACCTAAAATCGCACCAAGATTATTTTTCACGCTGCTTTCATGTAAAAAGAATTCTTATCCTGAAAACTTATAGTAGACATCCTAAAAATGTGTAATGCAGCTCGAACTATATCAGATGTCAAAGGGTCTGATGCAGGCAAAAATATAAAGTGATTTTGCCTAACGTTAAAATAGAAAGCTAATTGTTTGACATCGCCACCAAAAATTGACTCGATGTGAACAATGAACAATCCAACAACTAACATCTAGCAAACGTATTTTTTATTACGTATTGAAAACAGGTGACATTTAAAAAAAAACTTACCAGTTGTTTCTCCTGAGGGTGTTTCTTGCAACTTAAGATCCACGATTTTTCCTCAGTAAGGTGTCCTATCTGACAGCCCTCATAGCTGTACAAATTTATTTTCTGGTTCTGTCCACATATGGCCAAGTATTCCGAGGAATCGCCAATCCAATTCATGCACATTGGTATAAACCCTAGGTAGCGGTCCTTACCGCACTAGATGTGAATTAAATGAATAGTCGCTTTGATAATGCTTTGTTCTTACTTTAGTTCCAACGGGACCCTTGACTGACTAGATGCAAAAACAACCGTAAAGGTGCCTACATGTAACTAACCTTTTGCGTAAGCGCAAGTTTGCTTGTGAGAGAGCCACAAGTTTGCAACAGCTATAAAATGAAAAAAACCTATTACCGAGTCGGAAGACTGCTTACACACACATTTTTAAGAAGCATCAAAATTCCTTACAAAAAATGGAAGCAAAGCACTTGTATTGAAGTAAAACGCTATTTGGAAGAGCGAAAATAAAATATACACACACTTGCCACAATGATGTCACTACAGACTTGATCAAAGAAATTAGTCAATTGGTGAAAAGTGTGCTCTAAATGTTTTAACGCGCATATATGGCTTGCAAATGTAAAATAAATATGAATTCCATGACAAGAAATAAGCCGCAGCCATACTAGATGGTTTGAATTAATGGAATGTATTAAATGTGTTTTGTGGATCTTTCTTAATATATAACCACACTAATTAAAGTAGATTTAGTTTTAAGAGTAGAATTTCAAAAAGGTCCATTCTCTTTGAAAAAAAATGATATACTAGACAAAACCTACCTTATGAGCCTTTTCACAGATCTAGTGTGGTGTAAATATGTATAAACATCTAGTTCATTCAATACAAATTTAAAATCCTTCATTACTACACCAACTTTTAGTTCATTAGATACAGATTTGTTCAACAATAAGAAACCGAAGTTTTAATAACTGGTCATACAAAAAACCAAACAAATTTTGAACAGGCAAGAATGCTTTCAGGGCTCAAGGTATCATATGCAATGCAATTTAAGTGCAATATTTAAAGTTCGAAAGCTAAGTAGTGAATGGAATTCCCTCTCTCTTTCGAGAAAACGAATTATTAATGTTGATGTCTATGGCTCAAAATGAATCTCAAGGTCCACAGTTATGCTCTTCAACTCAAAAACAAATGCCAAATAAAAATAGTCGGGCACTATCAATAAATGTATTAAAAAAAATGAGAGGTATCAGAGGCCAACAAACAGGTAGATGATTTTGACAAACCTGCTTGCCCGTCAGCTGATAAAGAGAAAGACGTTCACTACTATCACAGACTCCGAAGATTTCTGTTTTCTCCAAACTACTACTTAGGATGACTAAAGCAAATACTTTAAATATGTCCATTCTAAGTCCAGGATCGCAATTCCATCTCCCCTTTCAATAGAGATAAGCTCTCCACCATCCTACAAATGCTATAAAAGCTTGTTTACCTGCTTTCTTATTGTCACACATCCATTTTGCATACCAACTGCTAATAGATTCCCATCAGTAGTCCACCTTAGGCAAAGAGGTTTACTTGGCAGCTTTGTTCGTCTGACAGATTTTTGGTCTGGGGCCCAAAGACCTCAGAAATTAACCACGTTTGGTCATCGTCTTACCAAAGTCATCCGTTGCACAACTAGCCAGAAGTACAGCTTTAGGGTTGAAGGAAACACTCCTAATGCTTCCATTATGTCTAAACCAGGTTTAGCTGCTGAGCGTCTATTTGCATACGTGTATTTTATTACACCTTCATAGTTGACACTTCTCCACACAATAACAGTGTTATCTGCACCACCACTTGCAAAATACGAGCCTTCTGAGCTATAATTTACGCATAAAGAAGTGTCCTTGTGCCCTTTTAATGACCTAAGTAGGGTCCCACATTCAGATCGGTACACCAACACGTGATTACCGACCCCAGCAATAATTTTTTTCCCATCAGGGCTAAAGCAAAGATCCCATACACAACTAAGCAGAGTTACGCAAATAACAACGTACGAAGTAGGGACTTCGGTCTTAGCCTTAGCTTTAAATGACCAGTTTGTTACGCACTCCATTAAAAACAATTTATTGAGTTCCCGTAGATAACGTAATTTCCGCGCTTACATAAGCAGGCACCTGATGATCTTACACAGTTAAACAAACGTTCCATATTAATTCTGTGGTTTTTTTAAATTAATCATTAAAATTATTTTCTAAACTAAATTGAAATCTACTAGCACATTCCGAATTTCACCTTTAAAAATTAATGCTGGACTCTAGATGTTTTAATTCACTGTTCCCAGCCCGCGTATTCCTGTACGAGATCTGGTTCATACCATTTCTTTGGATTTTGGTATATTATGTCGGAAGACGAGGATTGTCGTCTCAATGACGTTAATTCAAATCGCATTCCTGGTGTCGTATATTTTTCGTCAATACCTACTGGTATGAACGTTGCGATGTTAACAGAGGAGCTCAGCCATTTTGGCACCGTTAAGCGCGTGTACCTTGTCCCAAAAAAGTGCTTTAGGGACAAAACAAACCGACAGTACTCAGAGGGTTGGGTTGAATTTTCTAGGCGAAAAGACGCAAAAAGGGCTGCCCGGACATTAAATTGTGTTGAAGTTCCTGGAGGGAAAGTAGGTGTATAAAATATTTGGTTTCTACTTTAGAGAAAACCTTGGTTTGGTGAACTTTGGAATGTCCAGTTTCTTCCGAAAGTTTCTTGGGGAGATTTATTTGCAATCGAAAGGCAGGATGAAGAACAACGAAGAATTCAAAAGGATCGAGATATTATAATGGCAAAAAGACAGGCTAGGCTTTTTAAAAACAGCCTTGATTCACACAAGCTAGAAGTCAAATTGAGGGCAGCTAAAAAGACTAGGTACGATTACGACTTTTATATCATTACACCAATGTCGTCCCACTCCACGTGCACAAGTGTTTGAGTAAACTGCGGATCTTTTATGATTACTCGTCGCCATTTAGACATAGTATCATCCGTTCTGTTTTTTGCAGCTTAGCATACTGGCGATCTTTTAGTTGCGAATAAAAAATGCTTGTTATGCTCATTGTGTCTGACGCGTAGACAAAATATTGGCTGCTACTACATTGCATAACCGTGTTCTTCATCGTGCTTCTGCTGTTTCGGTTTCGATATATCGATTCATTGCACATTCCCGGTAGTGTGTGCGCTACCAGTATGCATGCTTTGCTTAGTGGCTTTTCATTACTATTTTTAGATTTAAAGAACGAAGTGCAGTAGATTTAGGAGGCTACCAAAAACCAACCGAAGAGGAAATTAAAGAAAGGATTGCCCGATCCAGCCGTACAGCGCCAGAGGGGATTGAAGGTTTCTCTGCCCTCACCGATCGGGAGTTTATGCGCAATCTCTTTTCCGGTGGGCTCTAGTAGTTCAAACTACTTATCCCGAACATTATACCTGTATATATGTATTCTGCGCTTTGTATAAATATCACGAAGTTTTAGAGCTGTCAATTATTGATTTATCCCAGTAGAACAACACACTTCACGCCTGATGTCGTGTAGTCCTATTAGAATGTATTTGTGGGCACTTCGGCTGAAATAAGTCGCGATTTTGCACAGGTATTCTGGTGCCTCGCTTCGTGAAAATTTACGTTAAGATATTTGTCATCAAACAATTTTCTTGGTGACTCCACCTTCCCTGTCGTCTGTTGCTCAGTAAACTCAATCCTGGCATTGGTGCTGGAATCATCTGTACTGATTTATTAGTCATCATCCTATTTTTGTTAATTTAATAAACATGACAACAGTTAGTCTTTGCTAGCAGTCTTGCTAGCTTCTGGGGTCCTAATCTCTGGAGCGTTGCGCTTCCATAACAAGACACGATAGGTTTGCGTGATAGTAGGGGTTGGTTGGTTTATGGGATCTTGATGCTAAGCGTGGTCAGCTTAGTGTTGGTTAATTTATCTGAAATAAGGTAGTTATAAACTGACACATTGGCTGAATGCCGAGTGACGGTGAGGTTTAGTGCACTCAACAACCCCAATAGGGTCGAAGCTCTGGTTACACTCTTGGTTTGGAAGATCATACAATACAACCAATACACTTAAATGCTTGATGTCTTTTAGGCCGTACTGTTGCGTTAGGTACAATTTGTTGCAGGTCTACTTATGGTTATAAGTAGGATTTATTTAACAAAAATAGATAAAGAATGGTTGTATTGATCCTCACTTGCCGCCAATTACCTTTATTTATCTTAACTTTCACGATCACGATTTTGTAATGTTGAAAGCAATATTCAGGGGCAGAAGGAAAAGCACCAGGCTGGAAAGGAGTCTTCCACTGTTTTATCAAAAGTTCGCCTGAATGAGTGGAGTTAGTGCACACATGAACTTCATTGAACAATACACAACACCCCGAAAGAGAAACTACGTGGATTCGAACCCAAAAATGGATAAACCACGTTAGTTTCTGCTCTTTCTCCATGCCCCAGAAAATTTGAAAACCTTACTTATCCTTGTTTTCGTTGTGGGTTGGAGCTGGAGGTCTACATTACTGGGACGTCCACTTGCGATGACAGGATGACAGCTAGAGACTTTCTTCTAGCACTATGCCTTGGAGCTTTTTCATCTTAAATGGTTACAGATTAAAAAAATGGTGAATAAGACTTTACTAAAGTATTCAACATATTTACTCTGTTCAATAAAAAAACCTGGAAGATTTCTTCATCCTAATCTTTGTATGGTTTGTCATTTATTATGTTTCTTCTATTTATTTAGTAATTGGGTGAAATGAAATTTCAGCCTACAGATGGCTAAACATTAAACTTGCTTAAATAAATACAACAGGTTGAATGCTAATCAACATCAAGCATTAATCGGTAAGAACGACAAATGTACATAATGGGCCCTATTTCTATCATACTTGTGTAATTCTGGCTTTAATATCCAGTAAAAACAGTGATGTCAAAAGTAAAAGGCGTAAGAAATGGGGTCTGTCGAAGATTCCTACTTTGTTGTGGCTGCAAAATCTCTTACATCAGGTGATTCAAGAATGTTCATGAATGTTGGCAAAAGCAAGGTGTCCAGTCTCGTGCACCTCTCTTTTTGGCAACCAAATAAGCTCCTCGGCTTCCTCTCACTTGCCCATATTTGTTGCAGGATGAACTGCAAGGAAGAACAGGATTGTGGGTGTTTCGGAACCACCTTGGCCACCCTTCTAGAACCTGTTCGGTGTCTGTGGCAGAGGTGTTGCTTAGGTCTTGTCAACAATTTATTTTTAAAGACTGCGCACGTACAGGCAAAGTATTTCTGACTGCTTTTTGGTTATTACATACACGAATAGCTCCAGTGAAAGACACGACAAACTATTTTTTTCTTTCACTTACCCTTCAGCTTACTAGAAACATTTCCACTATAAAAACGAGTAAACTTTATTTTAGATTTAATGTGTGGATCACTGTCGAGACAGGTAGAAATAAAAACTTGATTTTCTGAGTTGTTGCACCAAAATAATTTTGTGTTTACGTGTTGCTGACATTTTACATTACATCTAACATCTTAATTGCGTGCCTAAAGTAAACAGTACTTGTTGTTTATTTTGCCTCATAGTACTAATCAAGGCCGTGGTTATGCGCATCAAGCGAAAAAAAGATTTGTCGGGTTTGTCAAATTTTGAAAACCGAATCGCTTAAAATTGTCATAAAGCTTCCAATTTAGGCACTTTAGGAAAAGCAAATGTGAAGAAATCTCCAAAAATTAAGGGTAGAACTTGCTCTGCACAATCCCTCCTAGCTGGAAAAATTTGTAGCCGTCGACTGTCGCAAATCCTTTCACGCGATCATTCAATTTGGCTTAAGGTTAATTCGTCTCTTCTTGAGAAACCAAAATGCCAACAGACTATGGAGAGTGGTGCGTGTATTTCCAAGGTTCAAATGTTCACAATGTTTTTTAGCTATCAGCTTGGTTAATTGATGGAACCTGAATGTTTCTATGCAGAAAACCGAGTTCTTTTGATAGTCAATGCTAATAGAATGCGTTTGAGAATCTTTTAAGTTTTATTAAGATTGACATCATTTCTTTTGTACTAAAAAATTTCATAATGAATAACATGAGAGGTCGAGGTAAACACAGGTAATATAAATTCAAGTTTTCACAAATGCCTATCGAATGATATTTTAATGGAAATTTAATTCTCGATATCGGTTTTTACCTATGTTAATCTCAGTTGCATAACATAGCGCAACATGAACTGCAATTCGCTAATAAATGGAAAATAAATTGGCTAGCTTGATCGTTTCTACTTATATTTAATGTAAATTGAGCTAAAATGGCCACGTTGGTTTCGAATGATAGGCGTCGAAAATGAAATCAGTCAACACTTTTTATTACGAGTATGTCAAAATAAGATGTAATAAATTATGCATGGACAGATAAAAATGCTGGTTTGATGTTTTTAAAACCCTCACACGTCTAAGGTGCAACTATGTAACGTGCTGTTGAAAGGGAACATGTTAATTATCATGTCATACAGATTGGTAGAACTTTCATGCCTCTGTCTAATTATCTGTCTAATTCTTTGCTTCCTCAACAGTTAGAAGCAAAAATGGTTTCAGATCTGGAAGGAGACAATGTTTAAATGATGACAAAACTTACATTGGTTAAAATATAAGGCAGCACTAATGACTTTGTCGATAATTCTAGGCTACACCTAATGTATTTTGCATGGTGGTGGATAGGGGGCCGATTTTTGTTTATTATCCACGTCAAGGAGCTAGACGCATTTCAATAGTTGCAAAATATTGAATACATTTTGCTGACACCTAATGCACACATGCTACAGAATTCATATTTTACTTTTGGCATGGAGGCTTTTCGTCTCAATGAAATAGGCAATAAACAAAAAGACGGTTGCTGATTAAATCTAAGTTGGAAATTTATTAGGCTGCCCCAGATGGTGTTTCCTCAAGTCTGACAGCAGGTGTCACAAAATAGAATTGAGACTGATGAGAAGTAATGATAAATGCCTCAGTTTATTGTGTCTAAGGCAGCGTATTATGCTTAGGATTCTTATGGACCAACCAGGATTAATTTCACCTCTTTACTAAAAAGATAGACGAAATTTCGCCTAAGGCGCTACACAGACTATGGGCAAAATATTGCAAGAAAATGAGGCATTTCTATGTCTTGGCGCATTAAAGATCTTAAAAGCATGTCTACCTTTGAGAATTTTACTGGACGATTTAACTAGAGCTTAACGTTTAAAGTTATTTCATTAGTTAAAACTGGGAGGACTGAAACGGCGTCAGAATTATATCTGTTGTTTCGAGAACCAAGTCGGGTTAACTTGGAGAGAACTTCCTTCCCAATGAATACATCAGAAACATCGTGGCAAATTTCCAACTGGATCACCTTGTGAAACCCGATTTTGCATGTTGATGAAAGAGGTCAAACTTCAGTTCTTCTGAAGACGATAGTGGAAACGTCAAATGCATGAGTTAGAAATTACATTATGAAAACTTACGAAACAGCAACTGTTCACGGCATTATGGGTGCTTAGACTAAGATGCAGCAGTTAACAACCAGATTTTTTAACTGACGATCCGAGCAATAAATAGTTTGGTTTGTATAACTAGGGATAAAAGCAATGCTTTACATCATTTTTTTTAATTTAAGGTTTATCATGTATTTGTACTGATGTGCTGTGAATTTGCTTTCATAAAGACAAGATTTACGAGGCCGAGTCTGTTATTTAAACCTACTTGTTAACATGCTGCGATGTCATGGCATGACGAAGTGCACCACCGGTGCATACCCGGTAGTTTATCGTCTAAATTAAAACCGATGTGCAATATGGATATCAGGTCAAGAATTCTCCCTGAGCCTACACACAAACATGTGCTCTAGAGAGCAAAAATTTGAAGAGAATAATTGCAAAGTTAGTAGACATGCCCGACCACTCTTCTGATAACCTGTTGCAGCGTACATGTGGTTGTTTTTGCATTTCCAATTAGCTCGTTCATTACGGAAATGTAAAACAGAGCTTTTACTTCACTTTACGAGATGCATTAAGGAAAGAGTGGAATCGTGTCTTTTACGGATTCAACATGTCTGTCCCAACCATACCAAGGTCAAATAATTCCAAAGACCATTTCGGTTACAATTACAACGAGGCTTACTGGTAGGATCAGATGACTCACTGCTTTCTAGGCTTGCAATTAAGCGATTTTTTACAGACAGGTGACTGATCATCTAACAAGGTTAATGTATCACATGCACTTAATATAGGTCGGGAGTTAACATTAGCCAAGTTAAAAGAAGTTTCATTTCACGGATGTCCTCGTAGCTAAATAGATTGTCAAAAATGATTAATCACGACACATCTTAGCAAGAAGTAATATTTATTATCCAATTATGCACTCCCCATCA